CAGACCAGTATTTTCAGGGAGTTTATTTATAGAATTCTTATTTCAATTTGGCACACAATCAGAAAATGATAATACAATTCGGTGGGACAACAGGAAAAAATGCCAAAGTGTTGCTGCCCTTTGGGGAGAAAAAAGAAATGTGAATTACAAATAAGGAACAATCGGGGTTGAAAACAGTATTATCTGAAAGTGGACTCTATCAGCTGCAGACCGTAAAAATACCTGAAAGACTTAGAACCTCAAGACACTAGGATGATGTTTCCAAGTCCTCTAGTAACGTAGACTAAAGCCGCCAGAGGTGAGTTTAACACAGCCCAGGTTGTTTGCTCTATTGGCAGAAGCTGAGCTCTTCAGAGCTTAGCTTAATTTACTGCTCGTGTTTTATCTGGCTCGCTTCTGCTCACACCAAATTCAGTGGGAATGCTGCTACTGACTTCAGCAGAATCAGGCCTTTCACAGAGGGCCAATGGAGCCTCTTTCATAAGCAACGAAGCTCTGCACCCAGAGGAACAGAAATGCCGAATGCTTGTAACATTACACTGAAAGGCTGTTTTCTTCTCCTCCTTTTTAAGACAGTTTAACTTCTCCTTAGTCCTTTTGCATCTTTTCTACATGTCCAGTACTACCAATCACATGAACCTTTCTTCAAGATGCCTTCCTTTTGTTGGCATCTATCACACTTTTGGAAGGATCAACACCTTAGACCTTGGTCCCAAACAGCCTGAGGATAAACTGGATATTTTGCTGCTGTGGCTCTCTCGTTCTGGGACTGTTTCCACCTCCGATCTCTCATTTTTCTTGTCCCCATGGACTAAGACAGGAGCAAGGATCAGGAATGAACAGAAAATGAGGAACAGCAGAGGGAAAAGTGGCTGCTAATTGCTGGCTCCAGAGGGAGCCTCGGAAGGAAACTGGATGAGCACTTCTGAACCCCTCTCAGGAGGGCTGAAAGAGCTGGTGTGGCATCTGAAACCCATGAAGTATAAGGCTTCAACAGCTTTGCGACACGACCCGTGAGCGGCATGACCTGCTTGACAGTCGCAGCAGGTGCTAGCACTTCACTGTAAGAGCTGCCATACCGAAGGTGCGGTTCAAGTCAAGCAATCTTCGAGTCCTCAGAGTTACCGCAGTCTTGTCTCAGGGAGATACATTAGAGCGAAGTGGATATAGCGCAGTTTTACCATGGAGGATAGGAGGTCAGAAGATAGACTATGAATGGTATTTTGGCAAAGTCAAATCTGTAATTGTTTGTGTGAAAGGGCCTAAGTCTCTACAACAAAGCATTGGCAAAAGGTTCAGTATGAATGGCCTGACAGGGAGCCATCCATCCAGGCTCTCCTTGGTTAGAGGCAGTCTCCCCTGCTCTCATCCTGCTTGGGCTTAAAATCACACAAGCATTTATCTGCAGTCCATTAAATCTTAACTGTATGGTTATCTAACCTCTGAAGGACAAGAGAAATAAAACTATCAATGTAACTTAAATCAAGAAATGGAAAAAAGTGTTGTCTGTTACAATTTCTCCAGCACAGCCATCTGCTTCTTTCCTCTCTGGTTCTCTTTAGAAAACAGATCCACAAAGGGGTTGGACGTAACTGGGGAGACAGTAGCCTACAAAACCAGTTTTGCCATCAGAGAAACTGCAACTGGAACAACATCCATGAGACAACGAAGCAGCCAGCCTCAGCTGGTGTAACACAGATGAGGCCCAGCACAACACTCAGTCACTTCTCACTGTGCTGCTCTGGCGGACTCAGTGTTTTACACTATTAAACCAGGAGTATACAGTATTGCACTGCTGTTGTACAACTCCAACAGATGCCAGGATGCTACAATGATGTTGGGGTACATCTGTTTATAAACAAAAAAGCAGATATGAATTCCAGTGCTGACTCCCCTCCATGCCCCTGATCTCCAACCACTGGCCATTTAAAAAAAAAAATCTCTTCTCACACCTGAAACCAATTACAAAACCTGTCCACTCAAGGCATTTACCATGAAGTAAAAGCAAATATATGAAACAGCATCACTAGATGACTTTGCAGCTTCACCAATATGGTTAATTCACCATCCCAGTAAGCCATCTCTGCTAAATAATTTAATTATTATTACATGCTATGTAGATCAGAACAAACAGCTCTCATATAAGTCCATCTGTAAAAGGCTGGCAAATAGGTTAAACTTGAAACCAGTTAAGTACAATATTCAACCCTTTTATTTCTGTGTCCATTTATTTAGAAAACATTCATTCAAGGAATGAAAGTTAGGACTCTTGGTACAGTACAAGGTATCATTTATGCTACCATCCACTCTTTTTAGCAGAATGAAAAATACACACAGCTTTAGAATAATTTCACTTGCAATTACCTTAATCATAATAGCCACTCAAAAAACCCACCATTAGAGAACCAATGCTAAACCAATATATTCTTTTACTTCCCTTGTTTGGAGCTAGAATGATGCCATGATTTTTTTTTTTATTAAAATTTTTAGAAAAGACATACTTTTGTAGGACCCACCTACACCGTGCAATTGTTTTAAGCAGCATCCCTAAAAATGGTATGACAGTTTCATGTGGAAAAGGCTAGATTGTAAAGAACAATGTTCTAGCCCAGCAGTGAGACATGGGTACGGTATGATTTCCTACCACTCTGGGCATAAGCTTCAGTCACATCCACACAGCTGAGAGCGAACAAATATTTAAGCCAGAATAGCAAAATGTTTTAGAATGGAGTGTAAACATAGTCAAAGAAATAGGATATACTGAGTCTTAACACTATACAAACAAATATCAAAGTGCACTGGCACATGTGCACTAAGCAAGCACTTTTGAATACTTGCTGATCTGCATAAGAGTTGCATTTATTGTAAAATGGCATCAGAAACTGATATTCACCAGATGCTTACCTATTCTCATATCAAAGCAGCTCCTCTGTAAACTAGACTGGGAGACCCCAAGCACTACCTTAGGCCTTGGCTGTGGGAAAGCTGTATGAGCTCAGGCTGTACCAGAAGTAATTAACTGGGCACCTCACTCTCACCTTTTCTTCATTTTCACAAGAAGTGAGATTGGGCCAGTAAGGGTCCACTGTGAAAGGTACTGAACACTGTGATCCATTGCAATAAAGCAATTGAGGATATAAATGGGTCTGAACAAGCATATGTCTTCCTAATGGAAGCCAGCATCTGGGAGGAAGGAAAGGAGGGCTGAAGCTCTTCTTTGTGTCTTATCTTCCTAAAGAAAAATAATTTAGGCAAATACTTCTGTTTACTGCTCTATACCTTCAACTAAGATGGAAGTAAGCCCTTGTATGATATGTAACATCTTATTTTACATTTCTCATACAGAAGCCAAGTCTGATCACAGCTTATGCAAGGAAGTGATAGAATCGTACCCAAAATAAAAGCAGTCACATTTTCACAAGGTAAGTTTACACATGATTTCAACCTGAATGTAAAACCACAACCTGCCACAGACATTGTCTTAATTGCCTATTTAAATATTGTGCATTCAACCTCTGTGACACAATTAGGTTTTTATACTAGGCTAACTATGGCTATTTCTCATATTTAAATTTTAATCCGTGATCTTTAACTAGTAAAGAGCTGCTTTTTTTATTAGGCTTTTAGTCATTTCAATCAGCCTGAAAGACAAAAAGCTGCAGTCTTTTTGTAAAATATTACTAAAGCCTTGATAAATATCTGGATTTTTATTCTTCACTGAGGTTTGGAAACTCAACAAGTTTTTCAAAATAGATCATCCCCTTTTCAAAAAGGGCATATTCACTTATTTGTCACAGCATATAGTAGTTTATTAAATTTAAAAATTGGAAGTTAAGTTGCTTTGTGTATTATCTACATGTGTAAAAGCTATTTTCAAACAGCAGCAGTAGTGTCAATTTTGGAAAAACAGTTATCTAAAAAAAACTACCCGTACCAAAAGGCTAGTAGGACTAAGCTTCAGTCTACTTTGCCAGTAAGTTTACAAAATAAACATCTGTATCTGTAGTTATGCAACATCTGAGGAGGTCTTTTGGAAATGTGAACGTTAGCTAGAAGTCAAAAGAGGTACCTAGACATGCTCCACTACTGACATAAGGAAAAAAACCTCTTTTTAATCAGAACAGCAATATGATGAAAGAAGTTAAAATGAAAGTAATTAAGAATTTGGTTAAACAGCCTAAGCTTATACTGAATAAATTTTGAACAGAAAACATCTGTATTAACTAAGAATTTTAGCTTTCTTGAGGAGAGATGGGAAGCTTATCTACTGATAATTCAAATAACAGGTACATTTTAACCTTCTGAAACCCTTCAGGGATGCAGAGAACAACAATACAGATGGTTACATTTTTACAGATAGAAGTCCACATATTTTAGAGGTGCAATAAATCATCATTTCCTATCAAGGGGCCCATGTTCTGTTCTGTGTATACGGGATTGACAAAGCACATTTTTCAGTAAAGTTTTGCAGACCCTGCTGTACTTCAAGCGCCACGTGTTCTTCAAACTTGCTTAAACAGATTCTAGTTCAAACGGTCTCTTTCTATGTAAGTTTCCACAAACCAAGTCACCACAAGCTGTTTGGGATGGCTCAAGAGCTTTCTGCAGAAAAGAGCACGCCTTAACCTAAGAAGACAGAAAGTTATTCCTGGGGTTGTAGAAAAATTGCTGGTTTATATCTCATGTTGTAAATGGAAGCAACCAACCAACTTACTATTTCTGTTAAACTCATTCCATATGACTCTGTCCAATGGAAAGAAAGAAACAAACAAAAAAACAGGTACTGAAGGAAGAGGCTGCTTATATAGGCACAAACACCAAATGATGAACAAGTCCTACATTAGAGAAAAATCTAGCATGCATCTTCAACACTGTACGCAGAAATCAAGGACAAGAAGTAACTGTTAAAAACTATACAAGAAAACGTTGCCTTCTTTTAAAAAGGTAGATGGAAATTACACTGATTAATAAAACACTGATATTCACAACCCATCTGAACTAAACTGGTTTACATCTTCAGGAAAAAAGTCAAAATAGTACAGAACATTTCTTTTTTTCTCTTAAAAAGCAGAAGGAGTACCACACTGTCAAAGATAAAATGTTGTTGCATATAAATTTGTGTCAACCTTCTTGTGCTTTCTGTTCAGGGGATACAGAACACAGGGTCATGTTTCCTGCTAAATTGTTCACAGAGTTATCAGATGCCTATACAAATCAACCTTTTTTCCTACCTAATTCATTACGGAGTTGCTACAACTACAGTAACAAGATGTAAAAGGTTCCAAGAAATTCCTGTGAGAACTACTTAGGTTATTTTATGAATCAATTTGGATTTTTCTTTAGCTCACCTATGTTCACAAATATACACCGCATATGCACCTTGAGTATAAGAACTGCATGAAAACAGTCTGAAAAAAATAAAACACGGAAACTGAAGTGTGAGGCAGTCAGTCCCCTTCCTACTTCTGATTATTATTATTTTATTCTTTTTTAAATACCACCACTGAAGAAACCCAATGCACGATATAGCCCCCAAACCCACACCAAACTGCTTTGCTTTGCATCTTTCCCAACAGGTTTTCACACCTGCTTCTTCAGACAGAGCATCTGGAGGCTACAAAAGCATGTTTATACTTCTCCATCAGTCAAGTTTATTTGTGCGATGTTTTTTCCAGATCTGGAAGTTTTTCAATTAGTGCTTTATGGTTCATATTGATACTGGCTATAAGTCCTCCCTCATTGCCATCTGAGCCAGTGTAACTAATTTCTTCACCAGTCAGGGTAGTCATATGGCCACCCAATGCTCTCAACACTGCATTTCCAGCACATATGTCCCACTTCTTAATGTAGGTGACATGGATATACACGTCAGCTTCTTCTTGATTCTTTTCAGCCACGTCAAGGAGGGCCAACACTTTATAACCTAGAAGAAATGAAGAGAAGTAAAAAGAAAAAAAAAATTAAACTACGTTTTCCTGTTCATCACAGAGGATAAATCTACTAGTAAGTGTTAATAATATGCACATGCAAGATTTAGGAAAATGATGTCATTAATTATATCATGCCATCCAGTATAATGGCAGAGGCACCAATAAACTTTGTCTGCCCTCTGACTTGTACAGAAAATTGGAAAAAGGAAACATCTCCTCCTACACACGCACACACAGAAGATTTTTCCACTGCACCCCAATTAAAGCCTTGGGTATTTGGGACACAATTTTAGACAGACTTTACCAATATGCTACATAGACTTAACTAGAGACACATTAAAAGGACAAGACCAGAAACTCGAATATAGTTTTCTTCATATGTTCACTCACTTATTTCTCAATCTCTGTATTATGCTGAAGTCTAATTTTTTTTTTCCCCTTGCTTTTTATTACAATAGATGGAAGATGCATATACCACTCTTTAATAAAGCAACTCAGCCCAGGGTATTCTCCTTTATCATACATTATGCAGTGCGAAGTAATTGCTCAAAATAGTATTCTTTCTTTAATGGAATTTTTTCAATTTTTCAACTGTTTAACCAATATCCTTGTTTCATTAAACTGTTCCTTTCTTTATCTTCTTATACAGACTCAAGCCCTAGAGAAGATCTACTATAATCAGTTACACTTTCACTTTCTTTATTGTAAGAAAACTCATTTAGATTCATTGTCAAGAACCTATGCAAGATCTTCTTGACTAAACAATCTGTAAGAGAGCTCTTGCTTTCCATATTAAAGACACGGAAAGATACATTTCCATAAAATTCAAATTTTGCATGGCTTTTCTGAGACTTTAGAACAGCTATTGCTTCACACTAGTGCCCCACATATTTGTCTGTCAGTGACACGCATAAGGATATTGCGTAAGGTTACAAAAAGTAAGCTAAAACCTCTTTGGACTGAATATAAGGCAGATAAAAATGGACTTCAGTGACACTAGTTTTCTCTTTTGACATAAATGCAAGAAATAGTACCAAACTTTAATGGCTTTTTCTTAAAACATTGTTCAATTAAATGTACTACTAGTTAACTAACAACCAACAGATTCTCTTCCATGATTCTGTATTTGGTCACAGAACCCTTTTTCCTCCACGGAGGCACTGGTGCCTTCAGTGAACGCACATCTGTGCGTTCAATGAAAGGACCACAACAACATTGCTGGTCCAGCCTTAGATTCGCTAACGTACTAACTTGTGAATAGTCGGAAGCCTGAACTAAGCTTGCATGTAGGTTTCTATACACAGGAAAAACTGTGTCCCTATTGTCAAGTGCTTGCTTTTTAGGGATGTGAAGAACAAAAAGTAAGAAGAAAAAAGAAGAGATGCCACAGTTATATCCTTTTGTCTAATAACAGCTATCCTGTTAAATCATTCGGAAGCAATAAAATGGATAGAATGCTTAAGGAACCAAACCTGCTCCACCAGCCGGGATTATCACAGTCTTATTTCCAAATGTCTGCCGTGCAACCTGCTCAACTTTTCCTGCATGGGAGCGGGATACAATAATCCTTGGAGTTTTCTCATTGTAGGAGGAACGAGGTTTTACATTTGACCCGCCATCCACCATTGCCCAGGCTACAAGAGAAACACAAATTCTGCTAAGATTTACAAAAGACAATCTCTGTTAAGTGTAAAGATAAAAGGATACTTATCTGAGAAAATGAAATTGATGCCTCTGACTTAATTTCCTTCCCTACTGTGAAAAGAGAAAGTTAGGGCTGACAGAAGGAAGGAGTGCATGTCCACATGCGCACACAAGTGGAAGAGAAAGAGAAACAGCCCCCCCTCCCCCCCCCCCACTTTTGTGGATATGGCATTATCCTATGCCTGGCTATTCTTGTGTGATACTTCCAAAAAAAACAGAGTAAGAGGGAAAAATCCCAAGTAGTAGTATTTAGAATTTGCAATTGGAAAGCCACCAAAGTTAAAAGGATCACTGCATCAGAAATAGATCCAACATTTCCTCAAACAACCTTTTTGTAAGAACAAAAAGCCCTACTACCCTTCAAAGCAGATAGCAAAAATGTTATTGAGTCATTTTGTCCAGAAGGATAGTAAAGCTAAGGAAGGAAATAGCTCAGGAGGATAGTAATAGTAAGGAAAACATTTGGTGGTGTGTTTTGGAGGACCGGATTTAGAATACACAACCTCCCACTTGTTTCATCATGAGGTTCAAAGCCAAGCTTGGTAGGTGGCATCCCTAACCATTAATTTGACATATACTTAGCAGACTAACCAGCAATTTCATCTCAGTAGAGGGCCAGAATGTATAGCAACACACTGAGTTATGTGTAATAACAATGCTGACTGCCCTTTATTGCTTTATATTTGTGTGGTAGTATTAGGAACAATCCTACTCACAACATATTTGTATTTCCAGCTTGGGAAATGAATACTTTTTACATATAATGACAAAATTCATTGCATCTCACCTGATGCCATGTCTGAACATTTCAGACTTTGCTATTATTAAAGGAGATAAATTCTCAAAATTACAGTGCTAAAAAAACACATTTCTTCAGATAGATGTTGGTACTTAGAAAAATATCTTCCCCCAAACCCCAAGATTTTTAAAGCATATTGGAGTATAGCACACACTTAACGACTGGAAGTTTATATTTAAAGACAGTAAAATATTTAGCACAAAATATTGAGCGTTCAGTTGGCAAAAAAAAAAGAGAACAAATACAAAAATACATTTATTCAGTCTTAGTTTCTGTGCCAGTGCTACTGCATAACTTCACAACTCTAGAGGTCAGTATTGCGTAAGGGAAAATGAGAACAGAAATTCTTGTTTCAAATACACAGTATGTAAGACGTGAATACTGAAATTACTTTGACACTTTCAGAGCACATACACATTGCCAAACCTGCAGCCATCCTCACTGATACATCATTAATACTAAAGAATTAATTAGTTCAGGGTAGTGGCATTAAAACCATGTCAGATAATCAATAAGGCTATGCTAGACAGTCTTGCCTGCTACATACAAACAGTTGCCATTAAGATCTTTAATCTATCTTTGTTATTCCCACTGAATAAACACCAGCTTCTGGGTATAATGTCATGGACCCAAGTTCTTCTGCTGAATGAGCAAAATACTCTTCTTCTAAAGACTAACAGCACACGTAAGACTGGTCAGTATGTGTAGGTTTCACTTTCTTGGTTTGCTACAAGCACTCCGACTGAAGGGATCTTAATTCTTAAACATATTTTCAGTTAGTTTGTTTCAAATGCATCATTTTTATGTTAAACAAGGGCAGCATTTTCCTTTGTGGTTTTCTAGCACAGAACACATTTGCAGCTCTAATTCTGAGGCCTACAGCAGCGCTCTATTGCTCCAGGTACTATTTTCTCATTTATACATACAGATGTTCTCTCAAACATCAAACTTTAATTAACACTATGACTGAAGATGCTGGAAATACGTGAAGGCATAAAGATACCTGTATATGATGAGAATGGCTTGTGTATCACTCCTATAACTGGTTTACCATTTACAGCCACGCAAACCATTGTCGTGACATACTGTCGAAGATCCTCTGTGGGCAAAATGAGAAAGTGAGCAAGTTTACAGCCAGATACCAAGAACACAAAAAGAAAGCAGACCTGACATTACAGAAATGTTGTTCTTTGAAGACTAGTCTACATTCTGCCTCTTACAATTATGTAACTTGGTATATCTTCAAATAACCTGGCAGTTTTCAAGACTTTAAAGACTTTTCAGTTTTCCAGCAATTTTTTCCTGTTCAGTAGATGCTAACAGCTCTGTCTTATGCAGCACGTATTTTCATAGAAATCTGTGCCCTGATATTCTCCCTTCTCTGCCCCACCTCCTATCCTCTGTTGGTTCAAAGCTCATACTTCAAATACCAAAGAATATTCACCTGAAAAGGTGATTGTATCAATGGAATATTCACAAAAAAAAAAAAATTCCCCTTTTTTCTGTTTGTTCTGCAGTACTTATCAGCAAGAATTTTAGTTGGGTTGCCTTCAACTGCTTGCGTTACATCTTAAGACATTTGAAAAAGGGGAAGATTGAATTACGCACGCTTTTTTGAAAACGTGTAACAAAAATTTTTTTGTATCAAGTTAAATAGGATATTAACTTAGCATTCCCTTTAAATAAGCAAACAAAAAATATTCTGAGATATTTAGTGTTGCCACAGGAATAACTGAAATAAAGAAATGTGTAATTCCAGCAGAATTCATAAAGAACAGTTACCATTTATTTTAGCAATTACTTAGTTGCAAGGAATACCAAAGTCATTTCAGAATTGGCATATATAAAAGTAAAAGCTACGGTGTCCTGGTTTCAGCTGGGATAGAGTTAATTTTCTTCCTAGTAGCTGGTATAGTGCTGTGTTTTGGATTTAGGATGAGAGTAATGTTGATAACACACTGATGTTTTCATTGTTGCTAAGTAGTGCTTACACCAGTCCAAGACTTTTCAGCTAATAAAAGCTAGGGGGGGAAGAAGGAGGAAGGGGGATGTTTGGAGTTAATGGCATTTGTCTTCCCAAGTAACCATTACACATGATGAAGCCCTGCTTTCCTGGAAATGCCTAAACACCTGCCTGCAGATCGGAAGCCATCAATGAATTCTTCATTTTACTTTGCTTGTGCACGCAGCTTTTGCTGTCTTTATTAATCTGTCTTTACCTCAACCCACGAGTTCTCTCACTTCTACCCTCCCTATTCTCTTCCCTATCCCACTGTGGGGGAATGAGCGAGCAGCTGTGTGGGGCTTAGTTGCCGGCTGGGGTTAAACCACGACATACGGTCTGATAACTACAGAGATTTCCTTATACAATTTGTTCAATTAAATCACACTAGCTTTGACATAATACACTTTAACAACAGATGCTATTTTAAATACTTACAATTTTGTCTCCAGTATAAAAGGCAGACATCAGAATTACACACATGATTTGTCAACAAGAATCAGCTACCTGTGTATTCTTGTGTAGCATCTAATGGATCAATCCAGACAGTAACACTTTCTGCTGGAACCTCTTTAGGCTGTATTTTTTGTTTTATGTCTTCAGGAATACTGCGATCCCAAGAGACTGTCTCCTGATCAGCTGTATCAACACGCTCTTCAGAGTTTATCTATGATAAGACAACAAAAGTAGATGCATTAACTTATCAGATACAGTAACTGTGGTACTCAGGAAAGTTACAGGTTTGTTCATATCTTTTCTTTCCCCCTTCACCTCCAGCTAAAAGTGCATGAATTAGTCATTTTTCAGCAACTCACAAGCTATTACCATCATGCAACAAGCAATGGAAAACCACAATCCAGAATTTTACTGCGAACCACACCACAGCCGGACACTGTTTCTTTGGCTGCAGCTCTTCCTACTGAGTGTTCTCACAGTATGAATCGCAGGGGTTTTTTATAAATCAAAAGTTAAATGCAGTTGCTTCGAAGACTACAAGCAGAACATTTGACTTTGGAGAATCATGCGGTATAGAAACACAGTAGGGGTCTAATACTCCATTTATACAAATCAGTAGATGCAGATTGAAATGTACAGATATTTTATCAACAAATATTTGGCAGACTGTGGTATGACTTGGGGGAGTATGAATCCTAGTATATATTCCTGCTTCTGGCATTGAGTTACAACTAGCAATTTAAGCAGCTCAACTGGATGTAACCCTTACACAACTGGCAGATGAATGTTATTTTAGAACAAGTTAATAGCATTCCGTATCTGTCTTTAGGGTAGGTTGGGCTAAGGACCAGAAGGCCCCTGAAGAACATTTATAAACACCAGCCAAAGGTCACACTTAAGCCTACTCTCACTTACTACCCAGCTTAATTAATTTTATTCTGGATCAGAGGGCATTTCAGTATGACGAACAGAGTTTGGTCCAGTAGCGGAACACACAGTCCCAATCTGTTGAATGGACGAATGTTCTGCAATACCCAATACAATGTCACTGTGACTGCAGTAGCAAGATATTTTTGGATCACAAGAGATGCAGTTATCACAAAACACTGTACATAATTATTTCTTGTGCTAAAAAACATCACATAACCTGGCAGGAAAAACTACTGGGGAAATATGCCTTTAACCCATCCGTACCAGCTTACTACCACAGCAAACATGGTTTATAGGAGAGCTGCAATGTGCCTGGACATAAATAGTGCTAACAGGAATTTAGACAAATTCATCCCATTTACTTTTAGCACCTCAGTTACATTAGGAGACTAATATTTCTATGGTCCTTCTACTGCCAATAAAAAGGAAATCATTGCTACTGTGCCTTTCAAGCTTCAGCCTGCGTGAACCCTTCAGAAACACATTGCTCTACTAGTAACTCAGTAAGACAATGATGCTTATGGCTTAGATGTGCCAGTTATATGTCCGAAGTTGAGTGTAACCAATCTGGACTTCCAGGACATTCCAGAATATTAGGAAAACAAGCTTTTTTTATTCTTGCTAACTTTAAAGGTGGCTTCCTTTAATATAATTGTAAAGGCATGCCAAACTGACTAGGTCTGATGTCCAGTCAAGGCAAAATAGTAGGTGCACATGGGATGCAATATGTCTACAACCTAGAACCACTTATTTCCCTTTACTTGCTACACATGGAGTCAAGACTGCTAGCTCAGATTCAGATATCTGCCTGCTAGAACAGATAAATCCCCTCAGACTAAAACAACTTGTTACTACAGATGTTGTAGGCAAGTGACATTGAAAGACAATGAAAGTGAAGAAACGATCAGACCAGATTTGAATGTTACAGACTTTGTTATCACCAGGATTTTTACATAATTCACACATCATGACAAGAAAAGACATCACACACCTGAACTGTGACGGATTATTAGCAAAGGGTTAAACGCCATCTTCTCCAAGGGAATTCAAAAAAAGAAAGCAAGCAGAACTGCAGCACCTCCAGCCATACATCATAGCTGTCTTCTCACGAAAAACCAGTATTTGAAGCATTATATGCCAAACACAGAGTCCTTGAAGTTGCTGTGACATTTACAAATTAAACATCTGTCGCTGTACAATAAATGTGACAATTGTGTTTTCCCATAGGGAAAACAGTCCTGCAAAGTCAAGATGACTAGTCCCACAGATTTGGCAGCCTCAACACAGCCCCCAGGCAGTTTAAGTTCCACTACAGCATATTACACACCACCATTAAAAAAAAAAAAAAAAAACAAAAAAAAACCCATTTCCTCAACAGAAGGAAGAGGCCTCCAAAAAGTTAAAGGGTTGGAACCAATCCCCAAAAGGAAGAATATCTTGTTAAACCTGTTGTTACAGTACACTAAAGTTAAAACTCTGAAACTATCTGAAGGGGGGGTGAGGGTGGTGGAAAACAACTGGGTCACTAGTTCTTCCATTCGTATGACCATTTACTCCGTAGCCTTGGCCGACTACTCCACAAGTCATAGTTCAAGTAAAAATTCATAGCCATTCCACCACATGCAGTTATTAAATTTATTTATTGTTAGGAAGCTACATGATAGGTTTTGCAAGACAGAGTTGTCTGAGAGGGGATCACCAACCCTTAACGCTGGAAACTACTTCCCCTCCACCTCTTTTAAAAAAAAAAAAAAGGCATGAAAATACATCTGGAAAACATGCCTTTGTGTTAATACGATGCTCCATTCCTACTTGTCATTCTCATTTGCTGGAAGCCTCCAGAGGCTATGACCTTACATTTCAAGCTTTTCTTTAGCGATATGGGTATGTAGTTGACTCCATTCCCCAAGTCTTCACTCAGAAATTAGGAGTAGCTACGGTAGAAAGACAATCACAACACCAAATATTTCAGACAGCAGAGCTTGTTCCAGCAAGATGCTCTGAGTCAATTAAACCACTATGTTAGTGTAAATAATTATAAAGTTTGCATACTTGCAATCTTACACATAACTTTGCCTACTCCTAAGAGTCAGATTTAGATAGCAACCCATCATGCAAGAACTTGAGACAGCAAGCAGAAGACAGAAACAAATAGCTATTTGAGGTTAGCCACTTAATAGCTGTAAGCTGTAAAAGCCCATCTCAGGAGGTTCTGTAAGCTGCCCACTGACACCGAGCTTAACTACATTTCAGCAGTCTTCCCCAGTTATGCCTGAGGGGAAAGTCCTCCTCACAAAGAACCGCATCAAACACAGAGATTTAATAAAATATATGTAAATCAGTGAACGAACTACTGCTGAAAGGTCAATAAAAAAATTATTTTATAAACGAGGCAGTCTGGCTGCATCTCACCAGTGCAGAGCTTCCTCAAGACGAGTCTGTGAGGTGCAGGGTTCCCATGATGGATTAGGGATGCTGCTCACAGGAGCCAGCAGCAGAGGTCAAACAGCAACACCCCGGGATCAGCCCACGGTGTGCCTTCCAAAACACCCAAGCATTCCCAGCCTTCAGAAACCCATTGCACAGAAAACATTCTCCTCCAGCATGTTGGGAATTGCAATACAGATCTGCTCAGGGACATGGGAAGCAACTCAGGAGTGTACTACAAATACATGTGGATAAATGCAGTGCTCTGAACAAACAGCCAACGGTTCCAACCCTATAAAGACTTCAGGGAACCTCACAGTGGCTTGTTGTCCTGTGTTGGGCTACTCCCTACTAGCACTTCATGATGTCTGTGGCAGCTCATCATCCAACAAACCTACGTGAATATTAGATAGCTGTCCATGGTGAGGTGAACAAACTCAGGCTTTTTCCTGGTTTGAAAAAGTAGGACACAGCTGTAGTTTTTCCTTTGAATTCACCCATTAAAGATAAATTAAAATGAAAAAATGTTAAAAAATTAAATAGAAGTTTCTGTTCAAACACATAAATTATTTTTTTTTAAATAAACATCAGTACATGAAAATGCAATGCTTTCCTTAGAAAGTGTTTGGTGGTATGTGAATTTTATTTACATTTATTACTCCCCCTCCTTCCCCACATCCTTATCCATCCCAATACTCATTTTGTATTTTAATATGCAAATAATCCAGTATCTTGAAAAAAAGATGAGCTAGCACAGCTCTTTATTCCTCAGAGTGTCAATACCCCCATCTGATAATTAAGTCCTCTCAAATCCAAATCTCGGTGCTCTTTCATTAGAAGAGAAAACAAAACGAGAACACCACAAATACTGTCCCACCTGTATTACGAAGAAGAAATACTAATTAAGCTACTCAAGGTAAAAACAAAACAAAACCACTCCACAGTTTAGGTAACAACAAAGGGTAATATTCATTAGTCAGTATATGAATATGAGTATTCCATGAATTACATTTCAAGAACAGAGATTGGAACAGGTTGCCCAAAGAGGTGGTAGATGCCCCATCCCTGGAAACATTCAAGGTCAGGTTGGACAGGGCTCTGAGCAACCTGCTCTAGTTGAAGATGTCCCTGCTCATTGCAGGGGGCGTTGGACTAGATGCCCTTCAAATGTCCCTTCCAACCCAAACTATTCTATGATTCAATAGATTCAATGATTCAATGATTCTATGATTCAATAAGTCTATTGATTTGAATGGGACCATGAAAATGAAAAGCCTGAAGGCTCAGACAAAATAGCGTGCACAGCGGAACGTTAGCAAACTATTAACAGATGTTTGACTTGTTTTTTCTGTTTTGTTAGGGCACTAACTCTGCATGACATACACAGCCACTTCATCAGTGATTATGCAACGTAAGCATTACACATATCCAAGATTCAAACTGAACTTTGCCACTGGTATTCATGTGACAGGAGATGGAGGAAAGGAGCGGAGGGACAGAAGTGAAGAAGTAAATGCAAACATTTACAAACAATAAACCAACAATGATTCTGATACCTTCTTACTGGCTGACTGAGAGATGTCCCCTGTGGACAGTGGAAGATATTTTATCACTATATGCACCCTTTGGACTAATGTCTAGAGCAACCAGTAAGAGGATACCCACAGCTATGCACCTTGAAAGGCATACTGACCTGCTAGGTGGCTGCACAGGACTGTATTTGATTTGCTGTTATTTGGCTGTGCTTCAGAGATGTCACAACTCAGTGGAGAGCAGTTCAACCAGCAGCCTTTGGGCTTTCCCCTGCTTACAGGCCAAGCCTCACACCTTGCCCCTCCAACCACTGCTGTCCCACTGCTCTGAAGAGTGATGTGCCCTTATGCCCACTACACTACAATCAGACTGTTTTAGGTTTTTTTCATTTTTTTCCATTTTCTCAGCTTCTCTCTGTTTTTTCCCCTCAAATGTATCAGAGGTGAAAGCTGTCTCATCTTCTCACAGCATCTGTACATACACAAACTGTGTGACGGAATCAGATGCCAAAACCTCTGAACGTAAAGACCCACTCGACAAGTCAGGATGTATAAATATGCACAACAGGAGAGCACTCTCCAGGAGAGCAAGAAGCGATCAAAGCACCGTATTTCCAATAACCGAGGAAAGTATCTAACTTACCCTGGTTATGAAACAGGGCTTCAAAATCTGCTATAGAAGGAAGGACTCGCATTCACACCAAGACTTAGTTCACCTGCAGCCAGGACCGCTCCCTTCCAACTTCTGAATTTGGAGGCGGCAAGTAGCAGTTTTCACCATGAACAAAAGCTGCTTTCTGAAAGCTTATATTACTTGACACTGAAAAGAATGCAAAAACAGAAATCAAAATATCACGCCCTTTAAGTTTAAAATGCTTTTAAGCTTTAAACAATTTGAACAGTAGCCTTGCCAGCAGAGTCAAAAATTCTAGTTTTATTCAATACACTGACATTTTTAAAGCCAGCTGCTTCCTTTAGAAAGGGTTCTTCTCCTCCTTAGATTAGCACAACATATTAGAAAGGAAAAAATGAACTTTTACAGGTGATGATCTTCATGGCTTTCAAAAAGGTTCCTCTTGATAGGGTCCAATTTAGAAAGAATTTTAACAGGGTAGATTTTGTTATGAAAACATACAGAGGACCTTGCTGAATCACATGGTTCTCTATATAAATATCTTGTTAAAAGGTAATAAAGTATAATAAAAACATAAAATATATTTTTACACAACTGTGAAAGGTATAAAAAATATTAATATATAAAATAATAAAAGGTATAAAAAATGATGGTCTCATGTTGCAATTCATTTGAAATGAAAACAGCAAACACTTCTATAATAATGCCACAACACAGATAAAGAAGGCATGCATTTTTCAAGGCAGAGAAGTCCAGACAGACAGAAGTTCTCCTCTACTATCAACTACATCTTCATTTGTTTTTAAGGCCAACAAGAAGTCACTTCAAGCAGGAACAAGATAGAATCATAGAATCGTTAAGGTTGGAAAAGACCCTTAACATCATCGAGTCCAACCGTTAACCTAGCACTGCCAAGTCCACCACTAAACCATGTCCTCAAGCACCACGTCTACCCGTCTTTTAAATACCTCCAGGGATGGAGACTCAACCACTTCCCCAGGCAGCCTGGTCCAGTGCCTGACTGCCCTTTCGATGAAGAAGTTTTTCCTAATATCCAACCTAAACTTCCCCTGGCGCAGCTTGAGGCCGTTTCCTCTTGTCCTATCACTCTTTACTTGGGAGAAGAGACCAACCCCCACCTCGCTACAACCTCCTTTCAGGTAGTTGTAGAGAGTGATAAGGTCTCCCCTCAGCCTCCTCTTCTCCAGACTAAACAA